CTCGAGCCCACAATGTATCGTAGTTGATGGTGTTGAACACACCACCCCAGCCTCTATTGCATCCGTGCTCAACTGTTATTTCTCATCCATTGGCAGGAGTCTTGCAAATAAAATATCAGCTGCTGCTATGTTCCCAGTCAGATCGGCCACGATGCTACAGTCTTTCTCGCTTGACGAAGTTGATGAGAAAACAGTACTCAAGCATCTGCTTTCTCTAAAGACAAATAAAGCTATTGGCTTGGACAACATCAGTGCGAGACTTTTAAAGTGTGGCGCGCGTGCTATTTGTCCCTCGATCACCAAATTACTGAATCTCTCTATTCGCACTGGCAATTTTCCTGAAATATGGAAATGCTCGAAAGTGGCTGCACTTTTCAAAACTGGAGATAGGAGAGATGCGTCAAATTATCGCCCAATTTCTATTCTGCCAACAATGAGTAAAATTCTGGAAAAAGTCGTCCATTCCCAATTCTATGACTTTCTGAATTCAAATAATCTCCTTTCAAGCAAACAATTTGGCTTCCGTCCCAAACTGTCTACAACATCGGCTCTCACCAGTTTTGCAGATGAGGTCCTATTGCATATGGAGAGTGGAGAACTGTGCGGTGCAGTGTTCCTAGATCTGACCAAGGCATTCGATACCGTTGACCATACGATCTTGCTATCTAAATTGTCGGCTATCGGTGTCTCGCCCAGCACTCTACAGTGGTTCAAGTCTTACCTGAATCATCGTAAACAGCGGACTGCCTGTAGCGATGCTGTGTCTGACCCTCTCCCGATGACCTTTGGGGTGCCACAGGGGAGCATTCTAGGACCGCTTCTCTTCTTGGTTTATATTAATGACCTTCCGCTGGTTATAAAGAATTGCGAAGTGACTTTGTATGCTGATGACACGGTCCTGTACTACTTTGCTAAAGAGCCACACCTGTTAGAAGAGGCACTGAATGATGATCTCTTGAAAGTTGCCCAGTGGTTACATGGAAATAAGTTAACTTTAAATCTTACTAAGACGAAATCCATGATTATAGGCAGTAATAGGAAACTTGTTGGTATTTCCTCTTTCACGTTATCTATTTTTGACACTGATATAAATTCTGTAAGTAGTTTTAAATATTTGGGAGTTATGTTGTCTTCAACTTTCACATGGTCCGACCATATTGAGTATATTTCATGTAAGGTTAATAAAAACCTTGGTCTTCTACGTAGGATTAAGTATTATTTACGTTATGATGCCCGGTTACTTTTTTATAATAGCTTAGTGCTACCTATTTTTGATTATGCTGATTTAGTCTGGGGTGACAAGGACAATGTCTCACTTATGAAGGAATTGCAAATTCTCCAAAACAAAGCAGCTAAGTTGATATTAGATAGATCACCTCACTCCTCATCCACCGATGCATTGACTGTCTTGAGATGGCTGAATCTTGAAGAACGTAGGAAATGTCATCGATGTATATATGCATACAAGTGTATTAATGGCCAACTTAATCATTCTTTGGACATTGTAAGAAAGAGTGATATACATTCGTACAATACGCGCAATAACGATACTATCAAGCTCCCCAAAATTAAATATAATTGGGGAAAACAACGTTCGCGGTACCACTGTTTCAAAGACTTTAATGAATTAGAGAGAACTGTAAGAAACTCAGCAAGTTTTCCAATTTTTAAGAAGTGTCTTTTTTCTGCTTTTTATAACTGAGTACTTGTAGTGTGTATGTTTTAATTATTTCTGTAACTCGATTTTAGCTTGAATTTTTTTTTTTTTTTTTTTTTTTTGTATCATATATATCGATTTTAGCTTAACCTTTTTATATTTTAATTGTATTATATAATATACATCTCGTAATTAGGACCTCTATGTAAACCACTCTTGTGATGGAGCATCCTATTAAAAGATTGTTATTATTATTATTATTACCTCGTGTAGCTGTAAACCAAGGAGATTTATAAACAATTTGTTTACTTTACTGTGACTTAATATGTGAGAAATGTTCTCTGCATGAAGAGAGCTGCAGAATGTCTTCAAAAAACTTCCTGTTCTTACTGCACAATACCAGGTTTCGCCGGGGAAAACCCCTTTAATAACTTGCAAAATTATCAGCTTATTGCTTTCATTTTTAGTTTTACTAGCGAAGCCACACTTACCATTAACATTTGCAGGGGCTAAATTGTTCTTCTTACCGAACGAGAACGAATTGTTTGATTTTAAAACTACATATTAATTTGCAGCCGTCATCAAATAGTCAAATATTAACGATTTAATTCGTTCACCCGTGTGTGACAAATCCATATCTAGACGCGTACGCATGTATAAAAATTAATAATCTGAATAATCACACAGTCAAGGAGTTATAATAACTCCTCTGTTGGGGTTAATTTAACTTCTTCGTGGAGTTATTTGTTAAGGAGTTATTTTAACTCCAAAAAGGAGTTTAAAGAACTCTTTTCCACGAGTAAAAATCACTCCAGATTAGGAGTTAATTGGTTGAAATTCTATTTTCCTTTGTTTTGGGGTACCTTTACATCGGCGTCGCCGTTGTCGAATCGTACGTAAGTTCCCTAGTATTTATCCTGAGTGCCAGAGGTTTTACTATTTTTTTCTAAATTCCAGATTGCGGCGAAGCCGCGAGGTTCAACTTTAGCACTCGAGTCATATCTCGTGCTAAATGATATAATTTTTTGACGTTCTCGTTGCCGTCGCCCTCGTCGGATCTTAAGGTCCCTTTAGTAGTGAACTCGTGATACAAATCTTAAAGTTCGTGATGGATGTTAGACTTCTATTAGAGGCTTCAAATGGTCTACAGACTGGACTATTAGAGTCTTTTAGGTCAAGAGGAGAATGTTATCTTCATTCATCTTCTCAACTGGTAGCCAGTGCAAGTATTTCAGTGTATTTAGTGTCAATTTTAGTTACAGCAATGCTAAATGTAATACTTTCACCAAAAGATGGTTGCCTTGTAAACTGCGATGTGAAATTTAGCACCTCAGCTGTTCCAGGATTACTCTTGGGCATGTTCTCACTTTATATGAAATAATACACTCGACACATTGCCGAAGGGTACCGTCTGAAAGATGGAGCATTACAAGTGCTCAAATAAAAATTTTTTAAAATGACATTTGTTACTGTTACCATAAGCAGGACAGTCTCTGCGAGGTGATATTGTCTATTGGGTGATCGAAGATTGGGAAAAAGGCCGTGTTAAACAAGATAGCTGCATGCATATACTTGAACAGTTGCCGCAGATTTCTCGATTTCTTCACTGAGGAAAAGGAATTTAAGATTGCCCCAGTTTTATTTTAAAAGTCTCTGCATCGCTTCTATTACTTATCATGCTTGATTGTTGGGGTTTACTATCCGTACGCAGCCGGATTAAGCTCTTGGGTTTGCCCACGACCTTTCGCTCGGCAGGCCGGCGCTTTTCCAACTCAACTAACCAGGCGTTTAACAGGAGCTTAAGCAAAGACGTTTTTGAGCGACGCACGTCAACCGGAAGTGAGGCCTTCTCACTATGTATACATGCCTTGACTCTAGCGAATTTGTATTGCTAAGTTTCTTTTCTCTTATAAAGAGGATTTACCCGAGAGTTTGAACCAAACCACTGCCCACTGATGCAAAAAGCCCAATTTCGGTTGACGTCCGTCGCCCCAAAACGATGTTGCTTAAGCTCCCTACGTCAACCGGAAGTGATGCCTTTTCCTTTTTATTATACATTGACGCTACTAAATTTGTATCGCTTAGTATCTTTAACTTAGTAAAAACGACCTGCCAGAAACTTTAGCAAAACCACTTTCCATTAACGCAAAAAGTCCATTTCCGGTTAACGTGGGTCGCTCAAAAATTCCTTCGCTTAAGTTCCCACTCGCATGCGTACATTTGAAACCAAACGGGCGCCGTTGCAAATCCGTCAAAGTTCAGCTGCTGAATCGCGAAAAGTAAACAGTGAATTCAATGGGGTGTAATTTTTCAAATTTAATTTTCCTTATAACACATGTACAGGGTCAGGTTTTAAAAGTCCTCCTCTCACCTATCCTTAACTTAGATGGTTTTGTTCAGAGAATGTTTGCCTTGCTTAAACGGACCCTTAAAGGTGTTTCTTAGTGATCCACCAGGAACCAGGAAGTAGTTTTTATTTGTTAATCGAAAGAGGAATTTAATAAATTAAATTTCTAAGATGTTACTTGTTTCAAGTTCCCCGCTAAAGATTTGCCGAGGAAAGAAACCTTCTCCATTGTACACAGATACATTGTCAGCTGGTTCTAGGTTGTTGAAAATCAAATTCCATCAACTGAAAGAGCATAATTATGAAGCTCATGATATGGGGTATTCTCACGCCGGAATTGCTGCTCTCCTAATTTCGATTCATGCTCTCTCTCAGTCTATATACTGTTTTCTCTGATTTTTTCTTTAAACCACATCAACGACTCGGAAACGGTTTGTTTGACTAATTCTCATGGTCATTATCCCTCAGGACCTTTGATGACTTCTTGGTATTTCTAAATTTTATTGGTACATAAGCAATATTAAGACAAAACGATTTTGTTAAACATACTTTGTTATTTCCGAGAACAATAAAAATTACAGGTCTCCATTTAAACTACCATTTTATGAATTAAATTATTTTACAACTTTGGGAGTATAAAGTACAGAAAATGACAACTATATTTCGCATTTAAAAAAAATAAAATCCTGTTTTTTAACATTTCTATTGTTGTTTTTAGTTTTTTTTTTGTAAGTAAAATGATTCAGTCTTGAAGGTGTCGATTTTGCTAGGAAGTATCTCAAATACAAAAATCGATGTTTAGCAGGAGCTAAATCTTACAGTTATAATGATGACTAACTTTCGGGTAGCTTGACTTCATATTACAAAGGTCAGTCAAGTTTCGTACAATTAAAAATATGAATATTACTATGTTTTTACAGGAAATAATTTGTTTTACAATCTTCTACTAGAGACTGGCTGCTTGGCTGCTCCAGAACAAAGTTTCCCTTTTTGTCCCTTAGTTTGTCTTATAACCTTTGGGATAAGGCTATTCCAAAATTCCAATTCTTTTGCTCTATACTTCTTTTTTTCCTTGGGCTTCACGTCAAGGGCCAGGTAGGATCGGTTTACTTTGGAGAACTTCGGCCACGTTACAGGAGAATGGGGGCCATTAGGATCCCTTAAAACGAAGCAAAATCAGAAGATGAGGAGCTTGGTTGTAACCAAGATTTACGATCATGCGCAAAATAATAATAATAATAATAATAATAATAATAATAATAATAATAATAATTATAATAAAGCAAAATGGTTGCACTCTCTTCCCTACAGGATTGCACTTCATAAAGTAAGCCTAAAAGCGCTCGCAAGCTCTCGCAGTTTTGCTGTCTATTATTTATTACAGTTTTAAACGTATTTTTTCCACATTTAAAAACTAAGAGCTCTGCTGGATATTTTATATATTTTAACTCACGGCTTTTGTGTAAACCAGCGCCTGTAGCTGATAAAACCTGTCTGTCTATCTATTCATGTATCTTCCTGGAAAGCTATCAAGTCGCAAAGGGTTCTGGCCGAAATTTGCTTTAAAACCTCAAAATACAACAACCTGTTTAGACAAGCAAGGTCAAGCAGTTTCTCATTTGGGTTACCGTTAAATTATAATATACAATTTATAACATGACAAAGGAATATAACTTTTAGTTGTAAATTTATAGGTATAACAAAAACACACTGTACTAAACTGAATATGTAAGTTCTGCAATCAGCGGTTTTGGAAGGGTTATAATAAAACAATAGTGAATAAATAAAAAGTTTATATGTTTTTTTTGCTAGTGAAAAATCTACTATCCCTTTTATAGAACCTGATTATGAAACTACTTAGGCTAAACTGCCACTTTAAGTACCCAAAATACAAGAACCTATTTTGCCAGACTCCTAAGAAAGTAGGTTCTTATTAGCGGTTGTTTACTGTAGTATTTGGTCTTAGATCTTACCCAGACTTAGCAAAGTCAGTCCACAGTCTCATGATGTACAAACTCAGCCCCTTCTCAATTTCAGAATATTTGGGAATAAAAAATTCCATCGGCGATGAAATATTCGCGAAAGGTGCTCCAAACACAAAACCAATGTCAGCTCCGTGAAATGCGCCAGCCCACTCGGGAAGTTTTGAAAAATCTGGACGATGCTCAAATACGTAAAAGTAAACTGGCCTTCCAGCCTAGGGAAAGTAAAGTTAGAAAAAACATTTACTAGAGCCAGTTACATTTAGTGCCCCGCATGGTTCAGTACATCTTGGCAGGACCAAGTAAGGGCTGATTAATGATGTAGTCGATCATTTTGCATTTGCCTACTTGTTGATTAACCTAGTATTTAAAAGTGGTAAAGGGGTGAAATTAATTTCGTACGCGAAGGCTCCGCTTAGAGATCCAGCCCCTTACCCTTTTATATACTCTTTTGATAGAAAAGATACCCCTTTCGTATTTTCGTTACTGACCCGTTCACATACCTAGTTTTGATCACTTTATCCCATTTAACTCCTGGCGTGATGCACAGTGTCTTTTTAATGTGAGTAAATCACTAAACCAGGCAGCTTTCGTGTCTCTTTCATAGCCACAAAATGCGTCTCTAAGCACTTTCAGGTCCTTTTTAATCGAAGTGACAGATTTCTATACTGTTTCATATCTTTCCACTTAAGTGAACCCACTATCCTTTTATATTCTGGAAGGCTGAAAACAACAACAAAAAACTCCCCTTTCGGGCAGAGCCTCCGGGTAAAGGCCGTTTTGCTGAGTAACCCCCGCGCTCATAACAAGTTTTGTGTGTGTGTGTGTTTTTTTTGTAAATTACCTTCGTTAAAGCCTTTGCCTCAAAAAGCATTGGCGCCACCGTCATAAAATCACTTTGAAAGTTAATCATCCTGTCTCTTGCTGTTGTGTCAGAATCATCTGCGTACTGGTACTGAACCAGCTGCTCCACGATTTTGTTTTGTGTGAGTCCTTCCAAGAGGGTTCCTGTCACATTTTTAAACTCTTCTTTCGAGACTTGGCCCGCATTCCCCAGCCTCAGAAAGACGTCTAGAGATGACTCGTGGGTTGTAAATCCAGCCATGATTTGAACATTATCAAAATCTTTTTTCTTTTGATACAGCTTCTGAGGAGATCCTTCTATGAAATCATCATCAATAACGGGGTTGCTGAGTTCCATCAGGGCTTTGGTAGGGATACTAGATTGCAAAGAAATGATTTCCCCAGCACTTTTTTCACGAAGACAGGTGATGAGGTTGTCGTCAAAAGAGCAGTTTGCAGCAGCAGCTAGCTTTTGTACTGACTCGTTTCCTGCCTTTCTTGGTAGGTAGGGAGCTGACGCGGCACCGCTTTGCATGATGGCCCTTTGGAACAGATCTTTTGATTTAGGCGAGATTAAATGCAAGGCGACACTCGTTGCTCCTGTACCTTCACCAAACACAGTCACGTTTTTGGGATCACCTCCAAAACGGGCAATATTGCCTCGAACCCACCTCAATGCCTGAATCTGTGGAGAGAAATCAAATTACAAGAAGTGAAGTTGATTGCTTTTGATAAAAATTGCCTGGGAGTAGAAGGGCATTTATGAATTCTACGATTATTAATTTTACCAAGAGCCAAGGATAAAAAGAAAATTAAAATTATGACGTTTTGCGTAAATTTGATATTGGATTTAAATCCATACCAGGTTAACCTTATTAGGGAAAGGCCGAGGGGAGCAGGTGGTGTTGCAGTGCTGGGATATTTTTGGCATGAGGAATCGATAATTTATGCTTGTAGTCACAGTCTTCAAGGTTGAGGGAAAAACTACGTAAATTACATTGTAAATAAGGTGGCCATTATGTAAAATATATTAAAAAGAAGCGACTTTTTAAAACACAGCTACAAAAAAAATGCGAAACTGACTTTTTTAAAAACATTTAAGAAATTTTTAACTAATTAAAAAATAAACGACGTTTCGACGCTCTTGGACGTCATTATCAAGCAAAAATATTCATTAAGTACAATAAAAATTAAAAAAAAAAAAAACGATGAGAAAGGGGAGTTGATTTTTCACCTCTCCCCAGACCCTTTCCCATGCCTTCTCAAACGTCCTCCATTAGTGTGGGGTTACAAGGCCTGACAATTTTAAGTAACATTTCTCTCTGTTACCTGATCCAACATCCCATAATTTCCCTTTTGGTCCTTCTCAGGAACGTTCAAGAATCCCAGAATTCCTAGCCTGTAGTTGAATGTCACGACAATGACGTCATTATAGCCTGCTAAAACGTGAGCTGGATATTCAGTAGAGGAACCAAGAGAAAAGCCACGGTATTTAGCAGAGGAACGGCTGGCGAAGCCTCCGCCATGAATCCACACCATCACCGCCATCTTGCCTTTTGGATTATTTGGCACAAACACATTCAAGAAAAGACAATTTTCGTTTTCTGTGAGAGTAAAAGAATAAATCAATAAATTAAAATTAACAAAAAACAAGGACCCTTCTCTTGAAAGCTTTAGTTAGCTAAATCTCCTAGTTCCTCTCGCTTCTAGATCAGTATTCTTACAGCAGAGCTTGTGGAACCTATGGATGCAAAGCAATCGCCTTTGAGAACTGCCTGGACACACTCCCAATGACATTCGAATACTAAAAGAACTTTATTCATCTTACCGTTTCTTTTTCCCCTCTTGAAGTTCGGTATATTGAATTCCGGTTGTGGACATGCCGCTCCAAACTCTTTCGTTTCCTTGGTTCCTGTCCAATTTTTTGGTCTTGGAGCTGCCCATCTGTATTCTTTTACCGGAGCTTCAGCATACGGGATACCAAGATATTCATACACAGTTTTGCCGTTTGGTAGGGTCTCCAGCTTGCCAACAATTGTACCTGATGTGGTGTTTACCTCGGGAGCGCTGTCATTGGCCTGGATCTGAAGGGTTTTGTTTTTGTGAAAGAAAAGCATCGTTACAATTTGCATCGTTAAGAAATAACAGATAGATAGATAGATAGATAGATAGATAGATAGATAGATAGATAGATAGATAGATAGATAGATAGATAGATAGATAGATAGATAGATAGATAGGTAGATAGATAGATAGATAGATAGATAGATAGATAGATAGATAGATAGATAGATAGATAGATAGATAGATAGATAGATAGATAGATAGATAGATAGATAGATAGATAGATAGATAGGTAGATAGACAGATAGATAGATACTTTTTTTTTAATGAGGCTTTCACATGATATCCACAGATAATATATGCGTGGCCCTCAACAAAAAATTAAACCTCAAAAAAAGTCCACTTACAAACAATATTTACCAAGATTATGTTCAAGACATTTTTAGTGAAAATGTACTGATCGACTGGGCCTGCTTGGGTACGAGAAGTTGGAATTCCGGAGTCCTGTAAATTTAGCTTGTAGAATCCGGAATCCTGGACTTTAGAACCCGGAATCTACAGCGTGGAATTCACATTTGAAAACTGTCTTGGATTACCTCGCACCTTTATCGAATTCCTAAAACCCTTTAAGCCTCGAATTGGCCTTGGCCTATTTTTCAATCCTTTCTTGCCTCTATAAATGTGTAAATAACTTGCTGACCTCAGTTACGGGGTTTATACGATTAAGTCAAAAGAGATTAGATGTAACAACTGCTAGAACTACTTACCGCAGTCCGGAAAAGTGGAGGCAGAGTCGCTTTAGGGCCTAAAATTAATGGTTTTCTGAAGGTTAATCATGTGTTCTCTTATCTAAGAACAGTATAGAGGCATTCAGTTTTGTTATTGCAGTTTCCATATATTGAAACTGCAATTCTGTGCGATGGTTTTGTACTAAATAAAGAGCCATATCATGGCTCTTGATTAAATTAATTAGTTAATTAACATAAATAATACGAAAGGTGAAAAACAAATCCTGCCGTTTTTATTTCGTTCGTTTGTTTGTTTCGTTTTTTTTTTTTTTTTTTTTTTTTTTTTTTTTTTTTTTTTAACACGGTGGCGTTTAAACTTTACCAAGAATTAAATAAAAGGCCTAGTTTAACAGCCAAGCGCTCGTGAATGTAACAGGTGCTTCCTCCTTTTCTCTTCCATTTACGAACGACTGGACAGCCATTAGGAAGACAGGAACACGCGCTCCGAAGCTCGTCAATCGACGCGCCAAAGGGTATACATCTCAAGCCTCTCTCTATGCGTTTCTCATACCTTCATTGTATTCCACAGTTGCCTAATTGAGATAACTGACTTATTAAAAATCATGCTGTTCATTCATATAACACAAAAGGCTTCAACGATCTTCCATTGCCCTTTCCTCGACTAACTACAGAAAACAAGAATTTATTTTTGTTCAAAAATCCAAGCTGGAAACCTTTTTAATAGATCCTTATTTTTTTTTGGACTTTGTTACTTTATTTACCGCTATTAAGATGTTGACCCTTTTTAAATTCATGTGCCAATATTTGCTTTATTACCTTTATTTAATGAATCATTAATTTCTTAATTAATCAAGTGATTTAGTTAATTAATGGAGGTCTCGCTGAAAACTAATACTTGAGTTGTAATGAGTTATAAAATTATTATTGTTCAGTTATTATTAACATTATTATAGCTATTATTGTTTTTATTATAACTATTGTTTTTTTTTAATTAAAAGAGACAATTTTATTTACAAAAAACTATTAAAATCCTATTTACAATTAATTCGCTTAAAAAAAGAAAAAACTATTCATTCAAAAACACTATTTACAATTTCTGTCGATTTAAAAAGCACTTAATTTAGCTTAAAAAAAAAAAAAAAAAAAAAAATTAAAACTAAGAAAAATCTTTTCGAATTAAAAAACATTTCATTTCAATAAAAAAAAAACTGTCAACCTCTAAGATTCAAAAGTTTCTTTCAACTGCTATAAAACAAAAAAACAAACAAAAATAGTAATAATAATAATGAAATAAAAAGATATATATGAAGTAAGGAAACACATCAATAGTCCGATTTAATGGCTCCTTCAGCAACTTCGACGTCGATATCAACATTCTTAATGTCACATGGCACTCTTCTGGTCCTAGAGCCTCGAAGACAAACCAACGCAGATCTCAAGAGCGCGAATGAGGTTCTGGTTCTGATCCATGAGATGGTTTTGGCATACTGCTCCCCTTTTTTGATTGCAATCAGCTGTGCTAAACGGCTATGATACTTCAAGCACTCCTTTCCCATTCCGCCAGTTGTGGTGAAGACCAAGGGTGTAAATGTTCCATGCTCGATGTCCAGGACTCTCTCTGAGTAGAGACGCTTTTTCTCTTTATAACTATTGTTATTATAATTAACATTTATTATTTTTATTGCAACAGTAACGAATCGCATGAAGAGCTCTATAGGACCTAATTCAATTAAAAAAAAATAATCTCAACTTACACAGTGAGTAGTAGATCTTGACTTCTTGAGTATATATCGGGCCCGCTTCCGTCTCCACTACGCATAGAAGACTAACGCTGTGACTCTTCTTTTGTGGCGAGGAGCGTTTTATGCTCAAGGTGCCTTTGGAAATATCCAACACCTGGATCTTCTCATCTTCCAGCGAATTCTTAATCACATGACAATTCATACTACGGTTACAGTAAGCGACGTTGTCTCCGTCTCCCTTTGCTTTCCATGTCAATTCTAAGTACTTGTTTGCAGCTTTCTTGATTGCATCATCACAATCTAGTTTTTGCAAATCGTTAGCAGAACGCTTTTCCCGGGTTATAACAGAGCCTGCAAGAGAAATCATGAAACGTTTGCGAAACCTTTGAAATGAAGAATTCTTATCTCCAGGAATCTGTTCATTCCTAATAAATCACTTTCCCTAGTTGCAGTCATTTTTTATGCTTTCCCGAGCGAGTTTGCACTATGTATGGCACAAGCCAAAACTTTGTCCTTCCCAAAATCACGTCTTTAAGTGACCACCCATAAGTACTCCGAGAATGGTCTCAGAAAAATGACTGCAAGGGCACAAAAAGTAAAAGTCAAACCGATGGAGTTACTTACAAATGTATGCACTAAGAAGTCAACTTCCTTTTATAATCAGTTCGTATTAATTGTTATTTATACGGTTCCGAAAGCGAAAAAAAAAAAAAAATCGTAGTTATACCAGTTAGACAGTAAAGCCCATTACCCAGATTGTCGTGACACCAGTATCAAAGGCCGCCTTAATTTTAAAAGGAGCCGTAGAACAACTCAGCTTAATACATTGAAAAGGAATAGGAAACCGTTTTGTTATAACACTTGATGAGCGAATTTAAACAATCATCTTTAATTGCTTTTTCCTTTTTTAAGAAGTGTTTTCTTTCTGTCTTTCTCTAAGAGAGACTGGGAATTGCATTTTGAATGTCAGATACGTACCATTTTCACCTAGAACACAATGCTCCTTGTTTACCTCCCACCCACCCACCCGCCCCCTCCAAAAAAAATGCATAAATCTTCCATTCCTCTAGGGACGAGTATAATACTCAGGAGAAATTCGTAACCATGGTTATATAAAATTTTGGGAGACAAACAAGGTGCATTAGGGGTCTCAGTGAAAATTGTGAATTCGGATTATTGTCATTATTTACCCTTGTGGAGATTTCCTTAAGTGAAGTGAATTTAACGTGATATTACCTTACAGAAAATGTTGCTAAACGTAAACCGAGACAAGTTCTCGGAATTCCAAAGCGGATACAGGAAGTACGAGAAAATTGCAGAGCATTCTTACCTGATGCTTTGAAAAGAAGCGAATTTCCTGTGGGAAAGGAGCGAAACATTAAGGTTAAATACACCCTAAAATACTTTTACTTTCACAAAGAGAAGAATATAGAGTTTTCATTTCTTTCTGCTCTGTGGTGGCAAATAATAAAACGGGAAACATTTGAAGGTTTTATCAAATAATACGACGCCTAAAGTGAAAATAACATCTTAATTGTTCAATGTAAAAGGAGCTGTGTCACGAAGTTTCATCAAAATTAAAACAGTGGTAGCTGCCACCAAATTGAGTGAAACATAAAAATAACCCCTCAAAACAAGGAAGGAGTAAATAAACCAACAAAATACCGGAAAGGGAGGCACGGATGGACAGACCCAGGAAGAAGGCTTGAAACGGATTAGAATTGTGATCTTTAAAAACTTGTTATCCCGGCTACCGGTTTTCTTTTCAAAGTTCCTTTCACCATTTTCAATGTTTTAAAAGATGCTTGGAAGATATATTTGTTTGACACGAAGATCTGCTTTTGTCAGACACAAGTAAATTATCAACAAGTTTCATAGCGAACAAGGACACGTAATTCGCATTAGTGAACTTGCGCAACAGGACGGGAGAGGAAAGAAGACGGCAAACCTTCAGACTGAAAACATTGATGTTTAAAAGAGAAGACCACAACATAACAAGCAAGTAGTAGCCCTGTCACGTTTGTCACGCACAAGCATTTTGCCGTCGCCTTCCTGCGGCTGCTGCGTAAACTCACTGTTAACAAAACGACTATAAGGCCGCCTGAGAAACCCCAATTTGGTCTTTAACAAAACAAAAAAGCATATTTTTGGAATATGGACATGCTACTTGATCTCGCCTAGATAATCCTGCTTAAAGGGAACAATTAGATACGCGATAGGATTACTGGCGGTGTACAGGCTGTTATCCCGGGGGGGGGAGGAGGGGAGAAGGGTGGGGGGCACTCCCTTAGTTTGGCCGCTAAACAGGGTATACAGGGTTACTTTTCAGCGTCTTGAACAGGATGTGTTTTCTGAATGGAAAGCTTCAAAAGGTCTTTTGTTGTTGTACCGGGATTCTTTATGCAAACAATATAATTAGATAATGTCAGTTCCAAAAATTTTATAATCTCTGTATGCGAAACAAAATGAATCGGGCCCTCTTGCATTAAACAGGGCTGAAGGAAAGCAGTGAATTTGTTTGTCTTAAACAGGGTTTGAAGGTTTTAGCGGTGGCGCACCAGG